TTATTTCAAGACGTTGCACGCAACTGTAGTATCATCATTCATTCACGCACAGTGGCTTATATGTAACGTGCTTCATTAGTCACCCTGACTCTATAAATTACATATTTTGTTGGTCAGTTTGAATCCACGGGACCTATATGTATTTTAGCACGACGGGTCGCCGAAATCTCGCAGCGAGAGAGCCACGATACTTTCTATTGCCCCTCAAATAATTTTATAATGCCATCGCGCCCATTGTTCCAAATTCCTATGGTTACACAGTTTTGGGAAATAGTTGACGCACGGACAAGAGAGAATACAATGGGACAAAAAAAAAATCGTGGCTCTCTCGTGATCTTGACAGCCATGTTCGTCTATTGGGCGAATTACATTAATCATGACACTCGCGGAGTCGCATGGTTACCAGTTACCGGAAGTCCAGTTACCGGAAGCCAAGAGCTAATCTAGTTATTCACCAACAATCCATAAAATTTCTGTGTGGAAAATAGCAGTGAACTTCTTACAAACCGACCACAATTCGTTTGGAGGCGAAAGCAAGCATGGCCGCCACCGAAAGGCGGATTGAATGCGTATAGATGACCTTCGAAACGTTCGATATTTTATTAGTACTTACAGATAGATTTCCAAAAATCAAACTAATTTAAAGTTGTAATAAGGGTGAAAACATGTTATTGTTAGTATTGATATCTGACGCTGTGTAATGATAGATCCATTAGATTAGGATTTATCATGATCTGAGTATTCGTTCGACGAAACAATGAACATTCTCTAATACGTATGTGCACTGGTTTTTTTGGTACGTACAATAACAATCACTGCACATGCGTATTAGTGGTTTTGACTTTTTATCGAACGAGTACGGTTACGTATCACGCAATCATAACATTTTTAGTTTATAATAATCATAATCCGATTTGTATAGAGTATCGAACAACAATCTTAAAAATAGACGATTTCATCCATATTATATCTTTAATCTACCCTAGACTCCATCGAATTCTTAAATCAATAATAGACTTTCGAATAGTGATTTTGTTTCAAAAGCAATCGCATGTAACGCTGGTGTTCAGTTCCTGTTTTGTTTCATTTCTCAACCCATGTGCTTACCACGATTTGGAGCTTTGACGTCTGATTCTGGCATCTGGACAGACTCCGATACTGCGCTTATGATACAGTTGCTGCTCTCACTCTGTCTGACACCCTGTATTAACACAAGACAACACATAATTAGATATTACTGTAAAAAACTTTATTTTTACTGGAGGAATAAAGCAGTAATAATATACCTAAGATGCAATTGACAAGCGAGATCTCGCTGAGTCCGAGCGAGCCACGAGACTGATCTTTGCCCCCCAACTTGAATAGTACAATTGTCTCCCATCATCACGCCCCCGTCCTATGTAATCATGATATTTGGTGGCTACTACAAGGAATCATAATATTCAGTAGCTCGGGGTGCACCAATCAGCGTCTCTCTCTGAACCACAAAGAACCAATCAAATTGTAGAAGAAAACGACCCAGACTCTCCACTAAAACATGCGGTGATTGGTCATGTTTTACTTTGAATTCATGAAGTACCATGAATATTTGAATCAGCGCCCCTGGTTACAGACCTCCATGTGTTTTGCCAGGATGTGCTTAGAATGTAGCGACGGCGTGAATTATTAGCGAGAGACAATTTCCTTACTATAACTAACAAATGTTATCGCAAATTACAACACATCAACGTTTCTTGGCGGAAGAAGACAATTAATACCCCTCCCTCTTACAGTGATTATACACTCGTCATATATCACTGCGCTACATTTCTCAACATTGCATCAAATACTGCACTGTATCGTACCGGATCTACACGCAAGTGAGTTCAAATACTAGTACACTATTTGTATTTCTTACCTGGGACGCTGTACTCTGCGCCTGCGCACCCGAGCTCTGCTGGAGATGCTGCAGATACTTGTTTCGAATATAGCTCGGTACAAGTCGTGATCTGCGTAACCTCTTACCGATTTCTTTCTGGACTTTTTCGTTGCACAGGCAGTGAAACACGAAAATGTACGTACCCTGAAAGTACAGACAAACGAATCGTACAATTCACCGATGCAACCTCAGAATTTAAACCATCTACTGTGATAGATAATAAGTTTAAATAAGACCTTCGCGAAATCGTAGAAGAATACTCGTGTCTCATAATCGAATAAGAATACGTTGCGCGTTTTTGTCCTTTTTTAATTAACATTCCACTGAATATTACTGATCATTCACTAACGCGTTTTGTACCTCATATTAGTGTGTATAACGCATGGATTATTGTCCGGGCATCACCTTGAACAACAGGGAATATTCCGTGGTGGTAGTGTATGAATGTGTGCGCTGGGAAGAGATATATACAACACTCACCTGGAAGGTGTTCATCAGTGTAAACGTGTAGGCCATCACAACGGAGTTTCCATCGACATAGAGAAGTCCGAGTATCCACGTGACCCCAAGTATACATACCAACACAACCGCGCCCTTCGCCCATTTCCTAAAATGAAACAATGCTACATAGTTGTAGCTCATCGACCAAAACAACTAATCGTGTCCATGAATGATGGATAACTTAATATTGCAAGTCCGGAGCTGTATAGTTGAATGTGTATGTGCATAGTATTCAACGCTTAATGCATTACAAATTCACACGCGTATTTAATAATTAGTACGTACTAAAAAATCATTGCGCACGTAGTTATGCGTGCTGCAAAAGAAACATTTTTTAGTTTACGAAAATCACAATATTGTGTTCGTGAACAAAACCATTTTAATTCATCTGTATTGATTGCCATTTATGTATTTTATATCAGTAACTTTTATTGTGTGATATGCTATTCAAACTATGAGCCTACACACCAATGCATTTTTCTTAAATGTTGAGCTTCATAACACCTCGAGTGAGCCGGTAGGTGAGAATGCCACGTGTTCATGACTTACTCACCTGACTTTCACAGCGGCCCCCTTCTCTTGTTTCGCAGTAACTGAACGGTGGGCGTATGCCACTCGTAGAGCCATGAACAAAAATACAAGATTCACCTGCAAGGAAAATTAAATTGCATATAGAGAGACACGTCGAAACGTGTCCACGCGTACATGTGTGTTTGTTTTGGCAACGTGTGCTCGGTCCATCTGAGACAGCTATGGCGCGATAGAGCCTATTTTAGATATAGGGGACTAAAATTCTTACTCAAGTTGTCACGACGTCTATGCGACGCGTTGAAATGGGCAATGTAGACACAATTAGATAGATTACGTTGCGTGATATAAGTAGGCAAAGAGGTCATTGCTAACAGGTATTGTGCCCTACTCTTGATTGTATTGGTGTCTGATGGGAATACCTAGCTGAGTTGTTATGCTACTCAGTAAGACAACAATTCATGAGTGAATTTGACATACATATACGAGAACACGTTATGGCTACGTACTAGTACATTAGTTGTGCATAATTGCAAGTATTGGTGGGTAATTACAATTAATGTAACGTATTTACAAATACTCGGACGTAATTACAATCATTTGCACGTATTTATAATTATTGGGACCTAAGTACAATTATTGACATTTAATTACAATCACTGGCACGTATTTACAATAATTGGAACCTGATTACAATTATTGCCACGCAATTACAATTATTTCCACGTATTTACAATTACTGGTGCGTATTTGTGATTATTATTACGCACAACAGTCATTACCCCTTATACCCAATGAAAACTCATACTAGTACTAGAACAAAACGGTTTATATAGATCAATCTATTTTATTGCTTTATATAAACAACTTACCACCGTTATAGCAATCACTGGTCCGACAAAACTCCAAATAAAGCCAAATTCTGTCGTCAACCAGCAGCTGTCAGAGAAATAAACAGTATCAATTCTATTTCATGGAAGTACTGTGCTTCCACCCGGAATTTATTTTCGCTACTTTCGCTGAAGGAGTGAATTAGTAGAAATAAAATCTAGTGACATAAAACTTTTTCCTTTTTTTACATTCAACTCATCAAAAATCAGTGAAACAGAACAGCCTAAATGCCATTTAGCGAGTATAATTCCATCTAAAATAACGTAATTTACAGTAGGTGATTCGCTCACTAATTGTAAATTCGTGAGATTGCTTCCTCGATTTAAATGAAAGTGCATCGACCCCTTTCATTATACGCGTGTTACACGAAAAACCCGTCATGATTAAACCAGAGACGGATAACGTACAGGCCTTTATTAACGGCGTCTTGATTGAAATTATACCGCGAAATTCATAGAATAAATCACACTTACTGGAATGATGTCCCATAACCGTCGTGTTTTATTGCCGCCGAGATGCCAACGATGATTGCAGGTACACCTGTAATTATGCACGCACATGGCGCGGGGAATATATTAATATCAGTCGGTCTGCATTTTGCAACGAGACTCGTTCGCGAGTCTTAAACGGTTTGAGTTTAAAATTGTATTCATGTAAAATAATTAATAAATCAAGTCAACTTTAAAAAAAATACAAGACGCATGCGTAAAACAGGACTACTAATGCAACCATTATCAAACACATCGTCCGAATATACAATGGACATTTTGGAACTATTACAACCAATTTACTAGATTCCGCTAATGTTTTGAACTATCGAGCGCTGCATCATTGCAAATTTACCAAATGTACCGAACTACAAGAGTGTTTAATTATGGTGCCATCACCGTGTACCGACCACCAAATGCGATTACCGAGTGTCTGTGTACGACGACGTTTGAGCGTAATCAGTCGGTTGTAAAATAATCTGCCATGCGAATAGCAATGATCAAATGCGATCAATCGTCTCGGCGTTTACATAGGTCAACCGTGTATCAAGAACGGCGCGTGACTCAACCTGGACGAGTAGTGAAACTATTATCGTATTATAACCTTAAATAGTCGACGCGCCGCGTCGAGTTGTATACAGGCTCCATGCGACGTATACTCAGCGTGTAAAATACATACTTTGTTTACATGAAATCTGAACGGGCATTGCGAGACGACCTATATAGTGTGTACATTTCACGCAGGGATAGAACACGACAGACGCCTCAGATTAACATTTGGATATCAAATATTATTGCTCAATACTCAGGACACGTACCAGGGCATGTCTATACAAATTTGTAACGACATTCAGTTTACATGTGCAATACACCAAGGAATAATTTTATAGCTTCCTATGGTCGTTTGTTTTTTGAATAAATATCTGCTCATGAATTACTAAATAAAAACTTTCAATCATTATTTCTTGTTCTGATATTTTGTGGATTCATTATATTTTAATAGCATATCATGACACAAGTCATTGAAAATGACACAGTCCCCGTTAAGTTCTCTTTGTGCTCGTCATATTAAAGCGGAGGGGTTGTCGCGAGCATGTCCTTGAAACTTGAGTTCCAAGTGGCGTATACAACAGATTGTTTATTTACATCAAAACACTTGTTTCGTGTCATAGTAATATGGCCAAAATAAAAAACAGCCGTTATTCAGCCATCTTTGATCTGATT